TAAAAATATAAAGAAATCAACATATTTAACATCACTGAGTGGTGACATATTTAGGCTTGGATTACCAACGAAACGCCACCCTGAACATAATTTAGAAGCAGCCCATGAATAGAGACCTAACTTTCTGTATTGTCTGAGTAAATTTAAATGTCATTTCATCACAATGGTTCATGTACAATGTTCTTGATGGCACATTTTTCATATCTAATAATGATTCTCATTCACAATAATTCTGATTCTCAATGTTTTAGAAGGTAGATCTACGTAGAAAACTGTAGTACCTTCTATAAATGTATCTAACTATAGCACAAGCCTACATGGAGCATTGTCCCTCACTGACTTTCCACATATACAATGTATTTATACTATTACACTTGGAACATTGTTACACAATGTAAACACTGCCACACAAGACATGAAAGTTAGGTGAGGTGAGGTGAATTTGTACCCATTAATGCCGAGCGCCATGCAGGGACCAACAAGTACCATATTTTAACGTCTTTTGGTATGACGCGGTCGGGGATCGAACCCGCGACCTTCCACTCTCCGGGCGGACGCTCTAACCACTACACCACGGAGGCGGTCTGAAAGTTAGGAATATTATAATAAGTTATGGATACAGAGCATATTTGGCCATGACCCAGTGCTGGTACATTGATGTTCCAGTATTAGTGTCACCGGGGAGCACATTAGAGGGAGTGACCAGTCCCTAATTGCTGTTATATAACTTGTAAGTGTTGAATGTGCTATGCAAACAATTCTTGGCTGTGGACACACGATCCGGGCAGAAACGATGGAGAACTGATGACAACATTTATGATTTAGTTCATTTTGGGCAAGCTACACGTCAGACCATCTTCACCACAGAAGGTAAGATTTATCTCTAGTTTCAGAGAGAGTGGAAAGGAGATTATCCATATGAAAGTCCATATCCTTCTGATAACATGTCATAGAAAGACTTGGATATATGAAAGTAAAGTTTGGATAAGATACATATTAGGAAAATGGCAGTTTAATCCGAAGATTAAGTAGTGTGAGAATAGTGTTTAAGATGTGGTCGATTCTCATATATTATCATGATTATGTTACCAGTACCAGAGGCAAAATACCATCACATGATTTTAATCCTCAACTCTATTAATGACTTTATTTTGTTTACAAAATTCACATTTCTTCCAAACTTCTTCTTCAACCATCTTGCATTCATTCTCGAAGGCACTTTCAGTTTTTGTTTCAAATTTTACTAAATTTAGTTTCTGAGTAATGTGAAAGCTAAACATAACAGTGTTGTCATGGAAATGTTATTTTTGCAAATATTTTGTATATTTTTGAAAATGTAATTAGTAATTTTTTTATAAATGGAACATTCTTGCCTGGGTTGATGTTTGGTTGTTTGTCTGTTTTATTCAATGAGGTTTGGATTGTAGAATTCCATTGTCATGTTTCAAAATAGTATAATAATTGCTTGATTATCATAATTTCAACATCTGCAATAGATATTTTGCCAATGTTCCTATATTTCGAGGTTGTGGATGCTAAAAGTATGCTCAATAGCTGCTGTAACATGTTGTTGAATTTGAAGGGAGAGTGAGTGAGTGAGTTTAGTTTTACACTGCTTTTAGCAATATTCCAGCAATATCACAGCGGGGGTCACCAGAAATGGGTTTCACACATTGTACCCATGTGGGGAATCGAACCCGGGTCTTCGGACTGACGAGCGTGCGCTTTAACCACTAGGCTACCCCACCGCCCCTTGAAGGGGAGAGATATCTATTTTGACTTTAACTGTTTTTTTGCCAACTTTCACTGACCTGTTGAGAGTGAAATAGTTGTACCAAATGCAGGGAGGTGTTATAACACTTGATGCTTGAAAGCCCTTGATATCCTATTTTCCTTTACGTAGTATTAATATATGTCTTGAACATGTTTCATTATTTTGCCATGGAGTGTAATATAATGGTATGAAGTATGATAAAGAATTTGGTTTTACTTTGGTTTAGAATTATGAGTATAAACCCAGACAGTCACAACTGTGTTCTATGATAGTGGTATCAGTACACACATGTCAACAGGTGTATGATTGTGTGTTGGTATTTTCAAGGGTGATTACACAACTAATTGGTAATAATTAGAGTAACTTACTACACATCAATTGTCTGGGTATTGAGTTTAACGAGGTTATTGTCAGTTGTAGGGTTTTATCTCAACTCAGAAACATAGAGGTCCCGTGGACCCCCAAGTATTAGTTTTAGCCATGCTGGCAATATGAGGGTACTTTGAAGTAGCGGTGTAGGGAATTGTCCATTTTGATAATTTCTTCAGCGCCTGGAATGAATCGTTGATCATGTGGACTGGTGTATGAAATGATGCACGTAACTGCTCTGAAAGAAACAACCAAACACTTCGTAAAGTCAGAGATGTGTTGTTGGTACAGTGAATAAATTTGTGCGTCCCTCAGGACATTTGAGTGTACTGGACGCACATTTGGCCTACAAAAAAATGTTGTGGTTCTGATTACCCGACCGACCCTTGAATTATGGTGCCGACCCAAGTTTTTTTACGAGGTATGAATAAAATAAGCTTTCAGATACCATTGTTTTTTCCCGGCACCAACGGACATCGGTCATTCTGATAGAGAATTTCGACATGATGGCCATAAGCTTGATTGAATAAACAATTACACATTGATAAATGTGTTATTAGTTCGTACTCAACTTCTTAAACAAAATGTAAAAAAAAATTCCTTCCTAGCTACCCTAAATTTTAAAGAGGTGTAATTGGAACCACAACATTTTTTTATTTTGCCTTTGTGCATCACGTAAAACCCTACAGTTATATACACAGTAAGTCCTGTCGTAATGGTGATCCAGTGTATACCTGTTTTGGCCTCCTTCACATGTCACCTGTAGGTCAGCTGGGGGCGGTAGGGTAGCCCAGTGGTTAAAGCGTTGGCTCGTCACGCCAAAGACCCGGGTTCGATTCCCCACATGGGCACAATGTGTTAAGCCCATTTCTGGTGTCCCCCGCCGTGATATTGCTGGAATATTGCTAAAAGCGGCGTAAAACTAAACTCAGTCAGTCTGTCAGCTGGCCTATAAACAGACGGCAGTTCCTACATGTCATGGCCAGAAATAGTTAAAAAACCTCCAGAAACCACAGATATTTGTTTGGTAGTAATCTCTCGACTGTGTTCACTAACAGGAAGTATGACATGTAAACAACAGTGCTTGTTCAGAACATGTCATTTTAGGTAGTTTTCCACACACAATTGTCTGAATGCTTTACTCACTCATGAAAATTTAAAAACCACGGTGCTGACTGTCCGATTAAGAATATTCGCCTGATATTGCCTCCTGTTCAGATGTTCTTGGACCATCGACCAAGACTGCGAGAAACATTCACAGACACACTTTATCATGAACATATAGATTAACGCTTAGTCTCTGAATATATGTAATTTTGATAGTAACAAACAAGCCCATTTAAATTGAAAAGGAGCCCTAGGGAGACCAGAGATTCAGAACCTGAGGAAATCTAGACTTGCTTTATTTAGGGCTTTAGCACTGCAGAGAGGGCTTGGCAGTGGGGAAAATAATGTGGTTCAGGGACTGTGAGACAGACTAATGAACATACTGTAATAGATGTGTTCATAGCTGTGTTCACCTCAGAGTTTCAGACTTGTTAACGAAAGGCAGGTTAAGATGCGAGGCAATGATGCTGTTTGCTTAGCATTTGTACTTTGTATGTTCATGTTTCACTAATGATATCTCCTTGTCCTCCATTGTAGATGCCAAGGAGTGCCAGGAAGAAATTTGTAGCATCTGTCTGGAAGATACCACAAAGCTTTTGATTCCACAGAGAATTTGTCAGAAGATGAATGGACAATGAGAGAATATGATCAGAAACCTTATCAGAAGATGAATGGACCTTGACAATATTTTCAGAGACCTCTTCAGAAGATGAAAAGAGACCTCTTCAGAATATGATCATGTACATTTTAAGATATTATGTTCGTGAACATATCACCTGAAGTATGCTAAGAAGTTTCACTAAAGACCATGCTCATAATGTGATTTTGTATGTGCATTAAACAGGGATGCTTAATGGGCACACAAAACAGACATGACCTTGACCTTATTTTTTCATGTATTTTGTTTGAAAGAGCAGTTGGTACTTATCCTTGAAATATCACAACTATATGTTTGTCAGACATCTCTTTATAATCACTACACCTTGTTATCAGGATACCTTGTTACGAGAACCCTGTGAACACTTTGTTACGAGAACCCTGTGAACACTATGTTACGAGAACCCTGTGAACTCTTTGTTACGAGAACCCTGTGAACTCTTTGTTACGAGAACCCTGTGAACACTTTGTTACGAGAACCTTTTGAACACTTTGTTACGAGAACCTTTTGAACACTTTGTTACGAGAACCCTGTGAACACTTTGTTACGAGAACCCTGTGAACACTTTGTTACGAGAACCCTGTGAACTCTTTGTTACGAGAACCCTGTGAACACTTTGTTACGAGAACCCTTTGAACACTTTGTTACGAGAACCCTGTGAACACTTTGCCACGAGAACCCTTTGAACACTTTGTTACGAGAACCCTGTGAACTCTTTGTTACGAGAACCCTTTGTTACGGGAACCCTGTGAACACTTTGTTACGAGAACCCTGTGAACACTTTGTCATGAGAACCATGTGAACACTTTGTTACGAGAACCCTGTGATCACTTTGTTACGAGAACCCTGTGAACTCTTTGTTACGAGAACCCTGTGAACTCTGTTACGAGAACCCTGTGAACACTTTGTTACGAGAACCCTTTGAACACTTTGTTACGAGAACCCTGTGAACACTTTGTCACAAGAACCCTGTGAACTCTTTGTTACGAGAACCCTGTGAACTCTGTTACGAGAACCCTGTTACGAGAACCCTGTGAACACTTTGTTACGAGAACACTTTGTTACGAGAACCCTGTGAACACTTTGTTACGAGAACCCTGTGAACTCTGTTACGAGAACCCTGTGAACACTTTGTTACGAGAACTCTGTGAACACTTTGTTACGAGAACCCTGTGAACACTTTGTTATGAGAACCCTGTGAACACTTTGTTATGAGAACCCTGTGAACACTTTGTTACAAGAACCCTGTGAACACTTTGTTATGAGAACCCTGTGAACACTTTGTTACGAGAACCCTGTGAACTCTGTTACGAGAACCCTGTGAACACTTTGTTATGAGAACCCTGTGAACACTTTGTTATGAGAACCATGTGAACACTTTGTTACGAGAACCCTGTGAACACTTTGTTACGAGAACCCTGTGAACTCTGTTACGAGAACCCTGTGAACACTTTGTTACGAGAACCCTGTGAACACTTTGTTATGAGAACCATGTGAACACTTTGTTACGAGAACCATGTGAACACTTTGTTACGAGAACCCTGTGAACACTTTGTTATGAGAACCATGTGAACACTTTGTTATGAGAACCATGTAAACATGTGAACACCGTTTTGCATACAACGCCTCTTCGCAAAAGTAAATAAGTATAAATGCCATTGTCTCATCAAAACAGTAAGCATTTAGTTTGGAATGGAAACAGTTAGAATTTAGTTTGGAATACACAGTGCCCTGAATACACAATGCTCGCATATGTCAGCATTTACTGTGTAAAACAATTGGCATTCTGTTTGTACTGCAAACAATGTTATTTTTTTTCCTACTAAACCAGCCAACCACATCAGCTATTTCAAGTGAATACAAGATGTATTGATGTGCAAATATATTTTATTATATATCTTCTCAATGATTGTTTCAGCCATACTGCCGCCGTGAGACAAAATGGGATTCCCCGAAGACGAACACACAAAGACTATCAGGAGAGGACTTAGCGGCCTACTCAATAATGAGAAATTCTCAGACGTCATCGTTACAGTTGCAGGCCGAGAGTTCAAATGCCACAAATTCATTTTGTCTTTGTTCTCGTGTTATTTCGAAGCCATGTTCACATCCGGGATGCGAGAAAGTATTGAGAATCGGGTGAATCTGCCGGATGTGAACGCGGATGTGTTCTACAGGATCCTTCTGTTCATGTACCAGTGTGAGGACATTGTGGACATGGACACCGCCCAGGACGTCCTCCTGGTGGCGTCCCGTCTCCAGATCAAGTGTCTCCAGGACTACTGTGAGAAGTTCCTGTCGAAGAAGATCGGCGTCAACAACTGCATCTCGCTGTGGAGGATGTCCAAGATGCATAACTTCCAGAAAATGAACACCACAGCTTTCGAAACTATTTGCAGATCATTCCAGGAGCTGGTGTCATCGGAATCCTTTAATGACTTGACGCCCGATGAGTTGAAGATCATTATCGAAAGTGACCAGCTCATCATCTGTGGAGAGGAGGCCGTGGCAGACGCTGTGTTGAGCTGGGTCGAGGCAGACCACGGCAACAACAAATGGCGGAAAACTCAGCTGTCGTATTTGTTGGAAGTTGTTCGACTGCCCCTCACAACCCCTGAGTACCTTCGACACAAAGTGGAACAGAATGACCTTGTCCGCAAGAGTAAGGAAGCTCAAGATCTTGTCGAAGAAGCAAAGAATTTCCAAATGATGCCTGCCAGACGACAAGATTTTAGCAGTCCTCGGACGACACCACGGAAGTCTGCCGATACGGAAGAGGTTGTGTTTATCATAGGTGGTGCGACGGATCGTGTGAACGAGAACCAGACCAGTGTCTACTGTTATAGTTTTACGTGTGACGAGTGGTACAGTTTGACTAACCTGCCGTGTGACATCGGGAAAGGTTCCGCAGCATGTGTACATGGATCCAGCCTCTTTCTCACCGGCGGGTCCAAAAATGTGAAAGTGATGTATCGATATGAGAAAAGTCGTTGGATCAAAGGAGAAGCCATGCCTCATGGGCGCTGGCATCATGTCACTGTTGCCGTGGGTGACCGGTTGTACAATATCGGAGGAATGAAGGACTCGCTGGACTCGGAGAGTGATCTTGTGGCTTGTATTGATGAGTACCATATTTCAGGGGAACGATGGCACCAGGCTGGTACTCTGGCAGTCCCCGTACACCAGGCTGGAATGGCCGTACTTCATGAAAAGATCTTCTGTTTCGGAGGACTGGACAAAGATGGAAACTTCAGTAGTGTGATTCAGTACTTCGATGTGTCCAAGAAAACCGCTTGTCAAGTCGGTTACCTCCCCTCTCCCCTCAGTGAACACTTGAAGGCTGTGACTATTGACGACGACGTGTACGTCATATCCAGCCAATCAGAGGGCCTACAGCTGTTCAAACTGGACAATAGCAGCATGGACGTGTGTAATCTGGTCCACGTGAACCTCATCCAGACAATCAATCTCCCCGAGCTGACCCACTTCAGTGTCTTCCAGCATGAGGGGAACGTGTACATGGTGGGGGGGTACGAAGATGGGGAGGGGGACAAGTACCAGTGACGATATTAGGACAATGTCCGATTCAATACATATCATCCGTTTTCCTGACTCTACAAACTCTGGCTTCACTATGGACTCAATGCCGATGCCGTCAAAGAAGGCGGAAGTGGCGCTAGCCAAGATGCATCTCAGCAAAAAATACCTCAAGAGTCGGATCAGTGTCACCCGAGACAAACAGATATAGACTGGCTGTGACTACACATTGGCAATCTATGTTGGACATTCATGTTTCAATGTATCAAGTGCTACATTCACCTTTTGTACAAGATAACCCAATAATGTCAGTGTTTTATTGTTGTTTAATAACATAGCAGTTTTCATTTCTGTAACTTCTTAATTCACTAGTTTTAATTATGCACAGTTGGTTATAAAACCTGTTTATGATATGTTATAACAGTAACCTTTATCTGTCAGATTTCATGACATGCACTTGGTGACAAGCAGAGTGGCTCAAATCATGTAGCAGTGCAGAGTAATGCCCCTTGGTTGTAGAAGGATCTGTTGGTTATAAAAACATGTTTATGATATGTTATAACAGTAACCTTTATCTGTCAGATTTCATGACATGCACTTGGTGACAAGCTGAGTAGCTCAAATCATGTAACAGTGCAGAGTAATGGCCCTTGGTTGTAGAAGGATCTGTTGGTTATAAAAAACTGTTTATGATATGTTATAACAGTAAGTTTATGTCAGATTTCATGACATGCACTTGGTGATAAGCTAAGTGGCTCAATTCATGTAACCCAGGCTACCATGATTCTAATCTTTGGTTTGTAAGCATTATATCCAGATTCACTAAAGTGGTGACATCTGAAAAATCCCCGTACATAAGTTTTTGGTTTCCCTCACTCCCTCACTGTGACCAATCTCAAATACTGTTCATAGCGAGTAAAATGTGACTCACTGAACCATGACGTGGAATCAGGGGCCGCGTGCCTGAGGGGATTGTTGAGATTTGTCGATACAGAATCAGAATGGGAGGAATCCATTGTTTTAATTTGTTTAATTATGTTTTATTATAATTTTAGTGAGTGAGTTGGGTTTAAAGCCCCTTTTAGCAATATTTTAGCAACATGATGGGGGGAAGGCGGGGAGGGTTGTGGCACCAGAAATGGGGGTTCAGATTGTATCCACATGGTTATAATATTAGGGGTGTTACACTGTTTTGACTGGTTCCCTTTGATCTTCATGTGTGATTAATACAATGACATTCAGAATTCATTCTGACAGTGTCACCTATGTCCATCTTAGCACAGAATTTCTCTTGCTTGTGACAGTAGTTTGATTGGAAATCTGTTTTTTGGCATCATGCTTTTCAAATGAAAGTCAGAGTGTATTTGTTGTGTATGAATAGTACAGGGCCCCAATCCAGAAAGCGATCGTAAAGTTACGACTGTCGTTAGTATATGTTAATGTATGAGAGTTCCAATCACCCTAGGTGAGTGAGTGAGTGAGTTTGGTTTTATGCCGTTTTTAGCAATATTCCAGCAATATCACTGTAGGGAACACCAGAAATGGGCTACACATTTTGTACCCATGTGGGGAATATAAACCGGGTCTTCGGCGTGACAAGCGAACACCCTAACTACTAGGCTACCCCACCGCCCCACGATCACCTTAGGGCTGGGATCACTTTGAGGAATGGGTCCAGGGTGCCGATCCACAAAGCTTTCGTAACGTTACGACTCATCTATCTCGATAGTTTACCATAGGCTTAAGACTGTTGTAGCGTTACGAAGGCTTTGTTGATCGGGAACCAGGATATTTAATATAATACACTGGATTAATGAAGATGTGCATAATGATGTTATTAGATCTTATGTTTATTATTGACCCGTGAAGATCCGTGTTAGTATTGATCTTTAGTAACCCATGCTTGTCGTAAGCGGCGACTAACGGGATCGGGTGGTCAGGCTCGCTGACCAACTTGCGTAGATCGATACTCATGATGTTGATCACTGGATTGTCTGGTTCCGACTCAATTATTTACAGACTGCCGCCGTGTAGCTGGAATATTGCTGAGGATGGCGTAAAACTAAACTGACTCACTCACTTATGTTTGTGAAGTAATAAGGTGACGGGTGGTAGGGTAGCATAGTGTCTACTGGGTTGAATGCCCATGGTGTGTGAAGCCCATGGTGATGTCCCCGCTGTGACAGTGCTGGGATAGTGCTAACGGTGGTATTAAAACATACTCACTCACCCATTGGCTAGAATTAAAAATGTAAAAAATCACATGACACGTTATAATTTGTGTACTGTCGTTATCGGTCAGGTTCTGGTGAAGTAGTTTTAGTAGCACCCTATGCTAAATAAATGACCCCAATATTGTAAGATGAAGATTTCAAAATGGAAATGGGTGTATGTATATACCTGCATTATTCTGTACAGGTTATTATTTTAGGATCCACATGTCAGAGTCAAGTTTCACAGAAAGGTTCAGAAGTTTCCACTCTCAGTTTACCCAAAGATTAAAGATGGGATCCAAGGGCAACTATACTACTCACACTTTGCTAAGGATCACAAAAATTCACAACTTTACTTTACGTTGATATATTATTTGAAATTGTATCCATTTAAAACTAGATAAATAATAATATGGTAACCCATCATTAGGCAAATGGTCACTTTGATCTAACCTTATGCACTTGATACACGAGTAACAATAAAAATGGTTTTCATGGCACCAATCAACCATTTTGCAAATCATGGAACGAGTCATTGACAAGTACACAACACCTGTCAATAGCAGGTATAGGATCAACAAGATGCAATGACATACTGAAGCCAAGCATCCATGCTAGCAATAAGCTTACATATTTAAACCAAATTTGACCCCACATCATAGTTAAATCCATGATTTGATCCTTAGCAAAGTGTGTATAGTATGTCGAAATCAAAATTGTAAATTGAATTAAGTGGCATCAGTGCCAACACGATGATAAATAAGAAATATTTTGCCGAATGTCCAGTCATTTTGGCCCCTGCATGTATCTTTGTAAAGTTTGATCTTAGATATTTTTGCATAGTTTGATTTTTGTTTTACCTAACTATGAAACAACAATGCTTCTTATATGCTCAAGAAATTATGTGTAATTATATTAATTTTAGTTTTAAGTTGTTTAGAATTTAATCCTTTTTGTTGCCAGTTTTAGAAAAGTTCTGACAAGCTGCATTACCTCAAGGTTGTATATTTCTCAGCCGCTGATAGACAGGTGTCCATTGCAAATTATGGCTATAAAGACTGGAGAAAACCAGATTATTTGTGTTCCTTTCCTTACAGTTGGTTTCAAAGCCGACAAAGCACATTTATCAACAGACAATGCCTTTCAGAAAGTGGTCAGATGTAACATGTTATGTTGGAGATCATGCTTTCACAGTAAAGTACAATTTGCAGTACTTTTTAGGATTGCGTCTCATTCAGGATTTGAACCCATACTTTGAGAGAGGCACCAACTCATTTGTACACAAAATATTTCATATGTGAGACCGACTAGTGCTAGCAATGACTCTATCCCCAAAACATCCCAGAAATTACACTTTACTAAGACCGTAAATCCCAACCAGAAATTGCACTTTACTGAGACTGTAAATCCCAACCAGAAATTGCACTTTACTGAGACAGCAAATCCCTTCCAGAAACAGATGCCAACCACTCGGATTTTGGAGGAGTTACTCTGATTTTCAAATACAAAATCTACTCTCCAATTTGTCTTTAAAACTCTGATTTTTAAGAAAATACAAATATGTTTATAAATATAGAATGTTTGAAAGAATTTTAGTAAATAGCCATTTAAATATGTTCATTTGGGTTATGTATTACCTGGTTAAGTATGCCCAGAAGTTGCGTATTTCCAGGCTAAATCTAAAGAATTGCAAAGGGGAGGCCCCCAGACCCCCACTGTCAAAAAGGGCCCAAGCCCCCTCTCATGCTCTCCCAGAACTTGCACCGTCAGGGCGCGGGAATTGCTTTTAGCAAGGCATGACTCCACTTTCCTTTGATTCAGGGTTGGCATCTCTGCAGAAATTGCACTTTACTAAGACAGTGAATCCCTACGTTAAATTGCACTTTACTAAGACAGTGAATCCCTACGTTAAATTGCACTTTACTAAGACAGTGAATCCCTACGTTAAATTGCACTTTACTAAGACAGTGAATCCCTACGTTAAATTGCACTTTACTAAGACAGTGAATCCCTACGTTAAATTGCACTTTACTAAGACAGTGAATCCCTACGTTAAATTGCACTTTACTAAGACAGTGACTCCCTACGTTAAATTGCACTTTACTAAGACAGTGACTCCCTACGTTAAATTGCACTTTACTAAGACAGTGACTCCCCTCACGTTAAATTGCACTTTACTAAGACAGTGAATCCCTTACGTTAAATTGCACTTTACTAAGACAGTGAACTCCCTACGTTAAATTGCACTTTACTAAGACAGTGAATCCCTACGTTAAATTGCACTTTACTAAGACAGTGAATCCCTACGTTAAATTGCACTTTACTAAGACAGTGAATCCCACGTTAGAAATTGCACTTTACTAAGACAGTGACTCCCTACCAGAAATTGCACTTTACTAAGACAGTGAATCCCTACTTTAAATTGCACTTTACTAAGACAGTGAATCCCTACGTTAAATTGCACTATACTAAGACAGTGAATCCCTACCTTAGATTGCACTTTACTAAGACAGTGAATCCCAACCAGAAATTGCACTTTACTAAGACTAAGACAGTGCACTTGACTAAGACAGTGAATCCCAACCAGAAATTGCACTTGACTAAGACAGTAAATCCCAACCAGAAATTGCACTTTACTAAGACAGTAAATCCCAACCAGAAATTGCACTTTACTAAGACAGTGAATCCCAACCAGAAATTGCACTTTACTAAGACAGTAAATCCCAACCAGAAATTGCACTTTACTAAGACAGTAAATCCCAACCAGAAATTGCACTTTACTAAGACAGTAAATCCCTACCAGAAATTGCACTTTACTAAGACAGTAAATCCCAACCAGAAATTGCACTTTATTAAGACAGCAAATCCCAAATGTCATGTTACAAACAACCTTTTGATTAACATTGTTACTTTCTTCGATACCCAATTTGGGAACATATTTTCTGGTTGTAGAAATATGACTAAGGGGTAGTGGGGTAGCGCAGTAGAGAAAGCAATTGCTTATCCCACCCAAGACATTAGTTCAAATCTCCGTATGGGTATTATGTAGGCAGCTCGGATAGCCCTATGCCTTTAATGGGTGATTTATTGCTGAAAGTAGCATATAACCTCACTCACTCTATAACTTATATTCATTTATACTTTCCTTATATGCAGTTTCTATATCAATCCTGAGACATTTCAGAATTTACAAGTCATGAAGATATGCTACTCAAAACAAGTTAAGAGCACCCAATTTAAGGCTGCACAATACCCACCTGCCATGACAGATTAACCAGTCACAGCAAATTATTAGTGTTCCTTAACTTCCTATGAGTAGCATATACACTCGCATCATGAAAGAAGATCTTAGTCACCTTACACACAGACGTTTTTGAACAAGTTGTTTCAAATTATTGCAATAGTTTTCTTTGTGAATAAATGTTTATATCTGTGATCAGTTTTAGTAGCATATATATTAAAAATCTCAATGAATGATCATGTTAATAAAAACATTGTACATATTACATATGTTGTGGTTGTTTGACAGTTGCTATGCTGATGTTGTTGCCAATGGCAACATACAAGACACTTATCTTCAAGGAGGGGGATTGCCCAGTCATGTCAAATATTCTGGCTTACTTCCCAAACTCACAAAATTAATATCCTGGGTTACTTCTAACCCTCCCGGGGCGGTGGGGTAGCATAGTAGTTAAAGCGTTCGTTCATCACGTCGAAGACCCGGGTTCAATTCCCCACATGGGTACAATGTGTGAAGCCCATTTCTGGTGTCCCCCACCGTGATATAGCTGGAATATTGCTAAAAGCAGCGTAAAAGTAAACTCACTCACTCACTCTAACCCTCCCAGTGAGTGTAGCTTTATGTTGGACTCCTGTTATTGTTTTGGGGCATGGAGGCCAAGGATCGGATGTCAAGTGCCTCAACGGACCCTGCAGTTGCATTCATTTGTTTGTTGTTTAATGCCACACTCAGCAATATTCCAGCTGTAAATCGGAGGTCTGTAAATATTCGAGTCTGGACCAGACAATCCAGTGATCAACATCATGAGCATCGATCTATGCAAGTGGGATACAATGGCATGTCAACCAAGTCAGCGAGCCTGACCACCATGTGTGGACGACTGTTTGTACTTCTGAAAACTTGTGTTGTATAGCACAAACCCAAATAAGATATCGCGACACAATTAAAGATACTCCACTCAGTGACTCCAAACATTCATGGTCCTTCTTTAAGTGGGATTTGAAAGCTGGTATGATAAAAGGAACAATTTTTTACAGATAGACAACTTTTCTATTGCAATGTCTTAGCATCTAAATCAAACTATCATATATATTGCAATAGAGAAGTTGTCTATCCACAAACAATAGCTTCATCTTCTTAATCCTGAGCACTAAGCAGGCAACAACAATTCCCATCCTTTAAATTCTTTTGTATGACACGGTTAGGTTTGAGTGAGTGAGTGAGCTTAGTTTTATGCCGCACTCAGCAATATTCCAGCTATATGGCGGTGGTCTGTAAATAATCGAGTCTGGACCAGACAATCCAGGGATCAACAGCATGAGCATCGATCCTACTCAATTGGGATACGATGACATGTGTCATGGTTAGGTTTGAAACACCACCTTCAACACCGTTGGCACTATCCACAACACCGAACAGCTGATCTGGTAACATACAACAAAAAACTGACAAGCGGTGCCTGCCTACTCTTTAATAGTTTCAAAATAGCTCTGGTTACATAACTTCCAACAGTTGTGATGTCAAAATCAAATCAAACATAATTACATAAGTGTCTTAATTCTGACTTGACTGCAGTTACCTCCCTTCAGCAGAGATGCCTGCAGTGTTTTTCAGGAGAGTATCTGCGTCATCTGCACACAGACATCATACACAGCATCTGTGTCAGTAGAAAGTATAACCTTTCACAAGGAACAACCTTGAATGTCCACCTGGTCCATGTACCCTCCATCGCGTCCTTGAAACACTTGCTTCCCACTGGCAAAATATTTCTAAAACGTTTAACATCCAAATAACTCATCACCCATCATCAAGAAAGAGTCAATGCTTTTGGATTGCCATATTCCTTTTCTATGAATTTTATGTAAATAATTTTTGTTATAGAAATATGGAAAGGATGGGGTTTTTTCATATGGTGAGTGAGTTAAGATAACGGTACAAGAATCTGCATCGAAATATCGCACTCACGAAATAAAAAAAGTTGTTATACACACAGTCTGTTCAGTATTGATCTTTGTGTCCAGCGGTCAAGTTTTCTGGACAGCAATGGAGACAACTCAGAAAGGAAAATAATCAAAAGATTCATGGTAAGGCATGCCCTATATGTAAGCAGCTTTGAAGCTGAAAGCAGTGCTGAGTGCTGGAAAATATAGCCCATAAAAACACTACATGGAAAGAGTAATCGTGTATCGGGGAGGATGACACCATCCCCAACTATCTCAGCACATCTGGTTACATCTCAGAAAGGTGACACAATCTTCAGAGACCCTTTGTCAGTATTCAGATCAACTATATTTTATTTTCACCACAAGATTTTTTTCACATGTATTGCGTAAATATCTGCTGTGGTTTGTTTGAAAACATGCCGATCATGATCTGTCAAAAAGGAACGAGAGTGACCTCCCTTTGAAACCCTTGTTTTCAAAAGCACTCTTCACACCGAACAGAACTTTCTTCAGGTGTTGATAACTAACAAAGGTCTCCTGTGTCACGGTCATCTGGAATTACTCCATCAAAAAATGAACAAACAGAAAGTTATGAAATAATAATCATTCCCTTAAAACACTAAAGGGAAATTACTTTTTTTTAGATTTTTTTCATACAACATAAAAATCCAAGAAATCCCTCAAAAAGTGGATAAATTTTGGTCCAACTGCCAAAATCATTCACTGGAGTCTAAACACATAGAAAAATTCTCATGAAGGAATTAATATGTAAACTGCTCGAAATATATGCATAAAATATTCCATTATGAGAGAACAAAGATAGGTCTATATTCAGACCTTGCAATATCCATCAGTGTCAAATGTCATTATCTCATGCAACTGGAATCACAAAATTCTCAGAAGAACTTTGGTTTCACTATCATAATATGTTAGCGAGCCATGGTAATGACGTGGCATTACAACACAGCGCTTATCATCAACAGACAAAAGCTTAACAGAAAAAAACAAGAGTGAAATGCAGAGGCATAGAAAGACAAATATACACAACATGAAAACATAATAATCAAAATATATAAACAAAATATAAAAAGTTAAGTTATATGAATCCAGTATGTATAATATTCACAATGATCTGTCAGGTTTCAGCAAAGTTTGATATTAATATTGTCAACCTAGACTTCAACAACATGAATATTCATGACATGATTTCTGGTTGTCTCCGTCTGACCTAAGGGGCGTCAGGTATATTCCAATCCAGGTACCCACTCATCAAACTATGATGTTGAAATATACATGTTACAGGTCTTTCTTTCAAGTTGATGAGCCCTGATTAACAGTATGTATTATTTCTATACCATATTACTGTTTACTGAGTATCAAAAGATTTAGATTACATCTTAAAAATACTAACAAACCCCAAACTTGAATACAAATATTATATTGAATACAATTTAACACAACAAATAGTAAGAAAGACAATACCTCAAAATTATCATAACTTAAGTAAATATGATAAAAAACAAGCATCAAGCTAGTTTTCAAAAACATGCATACATATTTTATTTGATTGGCATTCTAGAAGTTGGGTAGATGAACGATGAGGACTGTTTTTATGGATATACAACTTCTTTATACTGTATAGGCGACATTTCGACAAAGATTCTAATGTCGTTGTCAAGCAAGTGACTTGACAACGACATTAGAATCTATGTCGAAACGTCCCTATACAGTATAAAGAAGTTGTATATCCATAAAAATAGTCCTCATCCTTCATGCATACATGTCGCTGTTACTACTTATTCATGACAAAAATTATTCACTTCTTCTTGAAGAATATACTAAATTTTCAATTCTGTTTTAAAAATTCATTATAAAACTTCTCATCATTCCACAGTACAGTATACAGGACAATTTTCATGATAGTAAAGAAAATATATAAAACTTTGCTGAATTCTGACATCTTTCATTCAATTCAGTTGTTGCAGCAACACATTTTGACACCCACGCCAAGACAGCTTCATCGCCATCATGGTCATCACCAACATCATCACCAACATCTCAAAAGGTAATCACAATCAAAGGCCATCCTCAAGGTCACCAAGCCAGTTGCCATTGTTCATGGTTGAGGCTGCTGCTCGCTGTGATGGGTGTTCACCAAAAAAGACGCCAAGATCATCCTCGGCACACAGGGCTATGTAGCTCCCATGGCACTTAATCGGCCAGATGCAAGACATGACTTGAAAGACATTACAGAGTTAATTTGGAGGCAGCAGGCATCATCTTAACCATGAAGAATGACAATGTGTGACATCTGACAAGGGCGATAATTAGTTTCCATTTGTCTCTCCTTGGTTGATATTGTTAGCCGACGCGCTGTCCGACTTGGTCGCCTCCGAATCTGACGTTTTTTCCTCCGTCTCTTCAGATTTGATTTTGGACATCTACAAAAGATGTGGAAGAGTGAATAAATGTTTACCCTGTTCATTGTTAATGCTGCGTTTATTCCAGCTACATGACAGCAGAGTGAAAATAATCAAGTCTGGATCACACAATCCAGTGATTGATATCACGAGCAACAACCAATCACATCAGGGTAAAGATGTATTGTTTGTTTGTTTGCTGTTTAACGCCACACTCATATTCCAGCTATATGGCAGCAGTATGTAAATAATCGAGTCTGGATCAGACAATCCAGTGATCAACAGCATGAGCATTGATCTATGCAATTGGGATATGATGACAGTGTCAACCAAGTCAGCGAACCCAACCACTTGATCCATTTAACCTCCTAATAACTGGGGCTGAGAGGATACACTTTGTCACGATACGATACGTATTGCGATATTTTCCCTGCGATACGATATCACTATACATACACCTTGAAAGAATGACACAGTATTAAGATTAAAAATGATTTATATCAAGGTATTTGTGTATAACAATAACAACTATTGTAAAAACAAACAAGTAACTCTATCATATTTGCGTTTTTGTCTCTAAATAAGTACTTAACATGTTTAAGATAATACTGTTTTGACAAAATGTAGTGTATCGTTTTGTATCAATACACCAGCCGATGATACAATAGCTGCATCAAACTTGCTGTATCGTGATGTGAATCGTCCCAGCCCTACTAACAACAACCAGATTAGCTTGCAGGGGGCCAGTTCGAACCCAGACATGTATCCCCATGAATACAACCAACAGTTTCAGTTGCACATTGTTTTACTGTTACACCTAGCAGGCTTTTACCTCGACTGACAAACATGGGGGTTCCGGGAACCCTAATTATTAGTTTTAAGGGTCATTGTAGGCAATACGAGAGTCCTGTGACGTAACGGTTCTGAGAACTGTATGTTCTGGTAATTTCTTTAGAGTCTGGTTTGAATCATTGATCATGTGGACTGATGGATGAAATGATGTACGGAACTGATCTGAAAGAAACGACTAAGTCAGAGATGTGTTGTGGGTACCATGAATAACCCTGTGCATTTAAAAGAACCAACGAATCCGTTGGTATATGACCAGATGGTGACCATAGGAATACATGCAAACACCTAGTTGCGGGTATAGCAACATGCAGTAAACTTGGACAAAGTACTGTGACTATGTGTCCCAGTCCACCCAGCTGTGAATGGGTACCTCGTTAGGATGGAGAAAGCCACAATAACTCGGTTTGCCTAGTGGCTGCAAGAGTTGTATACTCCCCAGGGAGTTGAGATTGATAATACGATGTGCCGTTGAGATTGACATCCAATGATCGAGGGAAAAAATACCAGCGCCTTGAGCATGCACTAGTTGCCTGGATATGTGCGCTATATAAATATCCTATAATAATAATAATATTATTGTGCATCCCTCTGGACACGGTGAATTGTTTTTCTGCGTCCATTCTCTACATTTGTGGGTACTGGACGCACTTTTGTGCGTCACGTAAACCCCAGCACCTAACACAGTAGCCATGTTAAGATGTAGATACTAATGTCCTACCTTGACCTTGTTGTAGTGAGCTCTGATCCCACAATGCTCGATCTTGGCTTCCTGTTCCGACATGAAGAACTTTTTACACAGCGTACAGTAGAAACCTTCCACCCTCTGGATGAATATTTGTCCTGCAACACCAACCATTCAGCTAGTTACCACGGCAACACATGACATTGAACATAGAAGGTAAATCAAACATTATCAGATTAGCAATAAGTGAGCATGGTTTTACGCCGCTTTTAGCAATATTCCAGCAATATCGGGGACACCAGAAATGGGTTGCACACATTGTACCCATGTGGGGAAACGAACCCAAGACTTCTGCATGACAAGCAAACGCTTTAACCTTTAGGCTACCCAACCACCCCCAGATTAGGAATAAAAAAATGGTGACAATATATATTAGTGAATAAAACTAGGTACTGAAGTTCACCTTTCTGGACCAAATTATTTCTTTCTAAACTTGACATTTGTTGGTGAATGTGATTATCATAAACATTTTCCATCAGTACTTCCAAGATATAATAAAACGTTTTCAAGCCAATTGTATTCTCTTTTTCCACTCAGAGTGACTATATATATATTTCAGTCGGGTCCCTTTGTTTTCCTTTAAAGAGTGAGTGAGTGAATGTGGAGACACCAGCCAGCAATATTCCAGCTATTTCACAATGGGGACCAAAAGAAACAATAAGTAAAAGGAAGACCAACAATCCATTTGGGAACAATGACAGTGGCATGTAATAACTGCAACATTTATAACCCACTCAGACGGTGAGTACAGACACTGTATCTCCGCCATGGTAAGCTCTGACATACATCACAAGCAGTAACCCATGCCATACATGCAATCAGCCATGTCTTCATGTCTCACCAGCCTAACCCTTGGGTAACTTTCTTTGAGTGAGTGAGTGAGTGAGTGAGTGAGTGAGTGAGTGAGTGAGTGAGTGAGTGAGTGAGTGAGTGAGTGAGTGAGTGAGTGAGTGAGTGAGTGAGTGAGTGAGTGAGTGAGTGAGTGAGTGAGTGAGTGAGTGCGTGAGTGAGTGAGTGAGTGAGTGAGTGACCAGGAATGGGCTTCACACATTGTACCCATCTGGGGAATCGAACCCTGGTCTTCAGCGTGACGAGCAGACGCTTTAACCATTAGGCTACCCCCCCGCCCCTTGAGTGAGGCAGTGAGTTTAGTTTTATGCCGCTTTTACCAATATTCTAGCAATATCACAGTGGGGGACAACAGAAATGGGCTTCACACCACTTCCTTTGAAAACATATTAGGTGGTCAATTGATAAGATCTAGGAGTTTCTTCACTCACCTATGGGTGTCCCTTCTTCAAAAGCAGGGAAATTGGCCTGGAAAACAAGAACAATGTTAATCTGCATATTGAAAATATACACATTGTACTGCATCTGTAAACAACAGTTTGATGACATGTGTAATATCATGCTTATGGTTTCATATCACTTTGGACACTGTTATTCAAATTTACAAAAGGAAAAAACAACAAAAATCACTTTAAAATTTGTCAATGATAAAAGAGGCCATATCACGACTGATAAAATCATGAAAACTTTCTGGAATGACCTAATGGTCATTTGTCTTCAGCAAAAGTCAATTGAATATCAGGCCATTTTCAAGCATGTCTTTCAGTATCACATTGTTTGGGGAAACCCTGAAACCTCTGAATTTCACACCTCCACTAGGGCCACCAAAGAAATAAGTGACTGAGTTTTTCACGCAGCTTTTAGCAATATTCCAGCAATATCATGGTGGGGACACCAGAAACGGGCTTCACACATTGTACCCATGTGGGGAATGGAACCCAGATCGTCTTCAGTGTGATGAGCAAACGCTTTAACCACTAGGATAACCCACCGCCCCCCAAAGTGGTGAAGACTATTTCGTGAAAAGGGGCCCATGTCATATGTTGTAGCTACATGGGCTCCGTTTTCACAAAGCGAACAGAGTGCTAATAAGCTCTTAACTCCCACACTTCAACACAGTCATACAATACAGTCATAGCACTTTGATCACTTTGGGAAAAACAGCCCTGATGCTCAGGTTAGTACTTCCTGCCATGATTTCCTGTAGTTTGTAGGGATCTAAAAATTGGTTCCATGCAGATTTATATGGTGAAGGTGCATTCTTACTTCATCGGTACATTTTTCAATCTCAGCCTCCAACTTCTCCCTTGCAGACTCTGTGTTCTGTAAATAAAATAGAAACAGTTAATGACTTGGCCCTCATGAAATACTTTCAACATACCAGTTTGCCAACAAATCAGTACTTCTGTAAGTTATTGTCTAGAGAGTTATCTGAAAGTATTATTTCTCCGGGCATGTAGCATACAAATATACAAGAATCACGGGAGTGTTTCAAATGTCAACATGATCAGGTCACATGGAGTTACTGAGTTTAGTTTTACGCCGCTTTTAGCAATATTCCAGCAATATCACGGCAGAGGTACACCAGAAATGGGCTTCACACATTGTACCCATGTGGGGAATCAAACCCAGGTATTCAGCGTGTGACAAGCAAACGCTTTAACCACTAGGCTACCCCACCACCCCCAGTTCACCTGGACAGTGAGTTGGGTTTTACTGGAGTTTGTATGAACACTTCAGGTGTACATCGTTCTAATATATAGATAACAAAATTATACAATTGAATCTATTGTTGATGCTGTATTTGGATGGGACATTCGTAATCCATCTTTCAGTCAGCCAGCAAAACTCAGTTTAGTATTTCTAAGGGCAAACTAAGACAGTTTCATAAGCAAGTGGAACATTTGACAAAGTGCATACACAAATGTCTCAACAGAAATGTCGTTACAATTCACTTATCAGAACATTTGCAAAATGGAATATACCCAATCCAGGCAGGATAATGGCCGTCACTGTATGTATTATATTTGACTGTAACCTGGTCATTGTCATGATAGATTTAAACATCGTCAAAACTTGGTGAGGTGAGGTGAGGTGAGTTTGGGTTGAAAGTCGTGCTTGAGAATATTTCGCTCATATGACGACGTGCATGCGTGTCCATGTCTATGTGCGGCTGCTTGTACTAGCCAAGACTTAAGCTGGTTTTATAGTGCTAGCCCACTGAGATACCATGCCGCAGTGAAGCATGAATACCCCACTCAGACACATTATACTGACTCCGAGCCGACCAGTCCTTGTTGTACCCATTAATGCCGAGCGCCAGGCAGGGACAACAAGTACCATATTTTAACGTCTTTTGGTATGACGCGGTCGGGGATCGAACCCGCGACCTTCCGCTCTAAGGGCGGACGATCTACCCACTACACCACGGAGGCAGTCTGTCAAAACATGGTCAAAACACTAAGAATAATTATTCTGTTATCATACAGTTATAGTTTCCCTGAATCTATTGAACAACAGATCAACAGCTGAACAGTTATAATATCAGTTACCCAACATTTGTCGCCAAATAATCGAGGAAAGAATCACATTTGCCTCAAAGTGGCAATACTCATCCGTCGGTCACAACATCCGAAACGTGGCCAACAGTGTACGTAACACTCCCTCGCATCATGCAAACTCTCATCACTTAAGTTTCTGAGCAATGGGAAGCCCCTACTGGCCACATTCACATACAGTTACATTTCTGATATGTTGGAGTTACCTCCCCTAGGATACACTATGTGAAGTCCAAACTAAAGCAAGTTTTCAATTTGTTCACTGTATTATGAGTATTCCAACATTTTGCTGATTGTCTAATGCCGACAAGACATTCAGTTCAATGCAGCTTCAGCCAAAGATCTGCCTAATCACAGTACCAGAAACCAGGGCTCGATTTAAGAGATGTTAACCAACTTGGACCAGGTGCAACCTAAGATAAAAACCTAGTTGCACCAGCCAGATTCCAGCTGCACTGTTTTTATTGCAATGTGTAATGAAAGAGATATGCTATTGAATTATTTAGATGTTTTATTCAGAAGTTTACCCACTCAAACATTTACTTGCACCAGGTGCAAGTTAGGCTAATAACTAGGTTGCACTTTTGTAGTATTGGGTTGCACCAGTGCAAGTAACAAAGCACTTAATCGAGCCCTGAGAAACATTAAACACAGGACACATCATCAGCCATACACAAAACAAAAGGACATCACATTGCACAACAAGCTATGAAGGACACGTTTATATCTAATGATACTAACTCTGTTAGTGTCTCCATGTAAGATGCAGGGCTCCAGATAATTTTTCAACATCAGGAGTATGTACTCCTTATTATTTCATAATTTTCAACACAGGAGTACTGGAAAACCTTAAGAGTACATTTAGAGTACTGAATGGAATTTAATGGAGTACCAGTAATCTGGAGTTTGGTTTCATATATGCACCACAACATTGCTACTCTTGTGTAAACAGGTCAATAAACAATAAAACAATACTTTTTCAGATAAATACGTCTGTAAATGATTCTAAGACCTACACCATTGCTGTGGTGCATATCTGCTATGTTTTCTAAATTATTTCCTACCGTATTGTGCATATTTTCTATCCGTACATACGCCGATATCGGCCCTTATCTGGAGCCCTGGAGATGTAAATGTTAGTTTCCAGTTGACAAACAACAATAAACAAACTTTGTATCCATGTAAGGGAGTAAGTCAGTGAGTTGAGCCTAGAACCCTTTATCAGCTGCAGCAAGACATTTATTTATTCTATTTATATATATTTATAGATCACCTGCTCAAAGGCGTTATGTTTTTCCCATCATTGGATGTCAGTCTCAAACGGGACAATGCATTATCAATCTCAACTCCCTTGGGAGTCACAGTATTTTGTCCAAGTTTACTGCACGTTGCTGTACCCGCAACTAGGTGTTTGCACGTATTCATGTGGCCACCATCTGGTCGTATACCAACGGATTTGTGGGTTCTTTTAAGTGCGCAGGGTTGCGTACTGTACACTAGGGATTGTGACAACACTGCAAGAGTCTGCACGCAAAGTTCACTCCAAGGTTTTTACACCCGGTCACAGGTGGGCTCGATCCTGTCACCTCAAGCTCGCTGGATCACTAGCCTGGCGCCTTAGCCAGCTCGCCTACAATGCCACATTTCCCCCATGTCAGCTCCATCCACTGCAGGTGCTCGTGTCACTTGTGGTTTTATGGTCCTCAAATATCACATTGTGTAAGAGGTAAGGTCAATACCTGTTTGTGTTCTTCAAGCTGCCTGTGTTCCTTGAACTCGGTGAAGTTTTTGAAGGCTCCTGTTTTGCAGCATCCACAACCAGCCTTTACCTGTCTCATCCGGTTCTGGGGACAAATAACAGTACATACACAACCAGCCTTTACCTGTCTCATCCGGTTCTGGGGACAAATAACAGTACATACACAACCAGCCTTTACCTGTCTCATCCGGTTCTGGGGACAAATAACAACAGTACATACTGAACCAGCCTTTACCTGTCTCATCCAGGGTTCTTGGGACGCAAATGGCCACAAGTAGTAGGGGAGCACACATACTAAACCAAGTAGATTAAATACTAAGGATTGTGACACTACAGGGCTTGATTCATGTTTTTCAGTAATTATTACAATCCATGAGTTTTTGTCGGTAATGATTATCATAATCCTGGAGTGTTTCCAGTAATTATGATAAATCCAGTGAATGTTTCATAATCCAGTAATTATTATAATCCAGAGAGTTCAGGAGTGTTCCGTAATTATCATAATCCAGGAGTGTTTCCGTAATTATGATAATCCAGGAATGTTTCCAGTAATTATTATAATCCAGGAGTGTTTTTCGTAATTATTATAATCCAGGAGTTATTATTATTCGCAATTACTATAATCCAGGAGGGTGTTTTCGGGAGTCAGGTTTTTCGGCAGTTGCTATAATTCGGGACTATTTTTAGTAGTTGCTATGCTTAGTTTTATTACAGATGAGTTAATGTTGACTTACTTTGTGTTGGTTTTGGTTCTTGTGGTCTGAGTAGGGGACTGGGAGGTCAATATCACAGATAACGCATTGCCTGCAACAAATACACTCATGTCAGTGAAAATAATGCCAGCTTATAATAAAACACTGAAACAAGAGTCATCAGAAGATGACATATCCCCTCGCCCCACATCTTTGAAAGAACAAATCATCTGACAGTTACTTAAAGTCCAGCTTGATTTAGACTAAGTGCAAATCGTTTCCATGGAAATCATGAAAAAATAAATGACAAAAATCTGCAAATAGCAAAGGCACCACTTTGGGATCTGCCTCACATATCTGCCAAGTTTTGCTGAAAGATATTAAGAAGTTTCCAAGCGTTGTGCTCGAAACAAAACCCATCCCTTCCTTTTTGAGACTAAGTCCAATCATTTCCATGGAAACCGAGAAAATAATAAATCACAAATATCTGCAAATAGCAAAGGCATCACTTCAATATCTGCCTCACATATCTGCCAAGTTTTGCTGAAAGATATAGAGAAGTTTTGAGTTGTGTCTCCGAAACGAAGCCCACCCCTCACTTTTGGGATTAAGTCCCGAATCGTTTCCATGGAAACCGGGAAAAATAAAATGCCAAAAATCGGCAAATAGCAAAAGGCACAACTTTAGGATCTGTTTGATATATCTATCAAGTTTTGTTGAAAAATATTATACGGTTTTGAGTTGTGTCCGAAACGAAAAGCAATCCTTACTTTTGAGACTAAGTTCAAAATGTTTCCATGGAAACCGGGAAAATAAAATGCCAAAATCGGCAAAATAGCAAAAGGCACCACTTAAGGTTCTGTTTCATACATCTACCAAGTTTTGTTGAAAAATATTGAACGGTTCTTGAGTTGTGTCTCGAAACGCAAGCTTCCACCCTCTCTTTTGGGACTAAGTCCGAATCGTTTCCATGGAAACCGGGAAAATAAAAATGCCAAAAATCTGTGAAATGCAAAAGGCACCACTTTAGGATCTGTTTGATATATCTACCAAGTTTTGTTGAAAAATATTGAACGGTTCTTGAGTTATGTCTCGGAAACGAAGCCCACCCTTCTTTAAGACTAAGTCCAAAACGTTTCCATGGAAACCGAGAAAATAAAATGACAATTATCTGTAAATAGCAAAAGGCACCACCTTAGGTTATTTTGACATATCTACCAATTTTGGTTAAAAAATATCGAACGGTCTTTGAGTTGTGGTCCGAAACAAAATGATTACGGACGGATTCGAGGTGACGACGACTATATCCCACCGCATTATATGCCGGTGGGATAAAAAGTGAGTGAGTGAGTATGGTTTTACGCCGCTTTTAGCAATATTCTAGCAATATTACGGAGGGGGAACAGAAATGGGCTTCACACATTGCACCCATGTGGGGAAGCAAACCCGGGTCTTTGGCGTGATGAGCAAATGCTTTAACCACTATGCTACCTACCGCCCCCACTGTAAAACATCATGGGGTGGATCTACACACAGGCATCAGGGTACACGCTGATTAATCAACTCACATTAGTTTCTTTTCTTTCTCCCGCAGTGCCTTCACCTCGGCAATCTTGTCCAGAATGGGCTGAGCTTGGTGTTTGGGTAGACGGTTCACCTCCTCCATCCGCTGCAGGTGCTTGTGGCCCTTATTGTGGTTCTTACGGTCCTGAAACATTACAGTACCATACACAACTTATTGTGGTTCTTACGGTCCTGAAACATCACAGTACCATACACAACTTATTGTGGTTCTTACGGTCCTGAAACATCACAGTACCATACACAACTTATTGTGGTTCTTACGGTCCTGAAACATCACAGTACCATACACAACTTATTGTGGTTCTTACGGTCCTGAAACATCACAATACCATACACAACTTATTGTGGTTCTTACGGTCCTGAAACATCACAGTACCATACACAACTTATTGTGGTTCTTACGGTCCTGAAACATCACAGTACCATACACAACTTATTGTGGTTCTTACGGTCCTGAAACATCACAATACCATACACAACTTATTGTGGTTCTTACGGTCCTGAAACATCACAGTACACAGTACCATACACAACTTATTGTGGTTCTTACGGTCCTGAAACATCACAGTACCATACACAACTTATTGTGGTTCTTACGGTCCTGAAACATCACAATACCATACACAACTTATTGTGGTTCTTACGGTCCTGAAACATCACAGTACCATACACACAACTTATTGTGGTTCTTACGGTCCTGAAACATCACAGTACCATACACAACTTATTGTGGTTCTTACGGTCCTGAAACATCACAGTACCATACACAACTTATTGTGGTTCTTACGGTCCTGAAACATCACAATACCCACACAACTTATTGTGGTTCTTACGGTCCTGAAACATCACACGGTACCATACACAACTTATTGTGGTTCTTACGGTCCTGAAACATCACAGTACCATACACAACTTATTGTGGTTCTTACGGTCCTGAAACATCACAGTACCATACACAAATTATTGTGGTTCTCACGGTCCTGAAACATCACAGTACCATACACAACTTATTGTGGTTCTTACGGTCCTGACACATTACAGTACCATACACAACTTATTGTGGTTCTTACGGTCCTGAAACATCACAAGTACCATACACAGCTTATTGTGGTTCTTACGGTCCTGAAACATCACAGTACCATACACAACTTATTGTGGTTCTTACGGTCCTGAAACATCACAGTACCATACACAACTTATTGTGGTTCTTACGGTCCTGAAACATCACAATACCATACACAACTTATTGTGGTTCTTACGGTCCTGAAACATCACAGTACCATACACAACTTATTGTGGTTCTTACGGTCCTGAAACATCACAGTACCATACACAAATTATTGTGGTTCTTACGGTCCTGAAACATCACAGTACCATACACAAATTATTGTGGTTCTTACGGTCCTGAAACATCACAGTACCACACAACTTATTGTGGTTCTTACGGTCCTGAAACATCACAGTACCATACACAACTTATTGTGGTTCTTACGGTCCTGAAACATTCACAGTACCATGCACAACAACTTATTGTGGTTCTTACGGTCCTGAAACATCACAATACCATACACAACTTATTGTGGTTCTTACGGTCCTGAAACATCACAGTACCATACACAACTTATTGTGGTTCTTACGGTCCTGAAACATCACAGTACCATACACAACTTATTGTGGTTCTTACGGTCCTGAAACATCACAATACCATACACAACTTATTGTGGTTCTTACGGTCCTGAAACATCACAGTACCATACACAACTTATTGTGGTTCTTACGGTCCTGAAACATCACAGTACCATACACAACTTATTGTGGTTCTTACGGTCCTGAAACATCACAGTACCACACAACTTCTGAAGTGGCTTGGTTGAAAACACATGCATTTCTAAGGCCTCGTAAACAGTTCCATCCTCGATAATCTCCAGGGTATATGTTACGATCAATCTCCACTATACCCTGGATGCATCCACGGCTTGGCCCTATGATTTTATTACCTCCCTTGGCTGGCTTTTTATCCAATCAGGTGTCTACGCTGGGAAGTTGAGCGAACCAATCACAACTCACTTTCGCATCTTAAATTATCTAACCGTTTAAACTTGGCAACACAATTGATGCAGAGGTACTCTGAAAGAGGTAAAAGGAGTTCTTTCATATATTTTTTTAAAGTTTGAGATCTGTCAATTTGTCTGTATTATTTCCCAAAAAATCTGAGTGGCACTGCGAACAAACCTTCGCGACCGCGACCGCTATCTTTGTTGACACTGGCAAGTTCGGATGTAACAGCGACTTAGCTGATTGGCTACTGTGAGAATGCGGAGCCAGCAAAGGGAGGTAATAAAATTATCGGGCCAAGCCGTGGATGCATCCAGGGTATAGTGAAGATTGATCGTAACGTATACCCTGGAGATTATCGAGGATGAAACAGTTCATGTTTTTTTAAAAAGTCCAACAAACATTACATTACCGTGTACAGGTATTTACGGGACGCAAATTCCTGCTTCCTATACGCAAACATTGACAATGGACACAACAAAATTTATTAGCGCTTCCACAGGGACGCAGAAATATTCCAAATTCTTTTTGTAAAATATTCAATCAAGTAACAATAAGTTATCACTGAGTTTGCTACCAGCTGGGTTATGGTATCATTTGAATTTAATTACTGTAACAATGTGATGATCATGATACACAATACAATACCAGTAACTGAATTACAACAATATTACAACATAGTATTAATAATAATATTTATGTGTCTGGGACACCCACTGTGTTGTCCAGGACCCCTGAAAATTAAGAGTATGGATTCCAGGGACCCTCAAATACGGGACTCAAGGTAAATCCCTGCCTTGTATAACATGGGTCCAGATTAAATAAAAAGAGTTTCAGGTGAAAGCTGTAACCAACACACCCCAAGATGAAGAGTAGAAATATATCTGGAAAACTTTCAATCCATATCATGCAAACTTGCTTGTTCATTGCAAAAAATAATGGCTCCTAGTTTTGGCACTACTTACAGCATTGTTGGTACACTGGTATTTACAGGCATGACAGTAAAATGTGTAGTTGTCTTCATACTGCCCCTGCAACAATATGAAACCGGTGAGAGTGAAGGGGATACCGCCATATTGAGCACACAAGATTTACAATAGATCTTTACACTCAGCACACAGCTAAACTTCAGGTGTATATATAACCATAGGTGAGGTGGAGGTGACTTCAGTTGTATACATAAATTGGGTTTAACGTCGGGTTTGAGAATATTTGAGAATAAGCTCATATGACGACGTGCATGCATGTGTATGTGTATGTGCGGCTGCTTGTACTAGCCCAGACTTAAGCTGGTTTTATAGTGCTAGCTCACTGAGATACCATGCCGCAGTGAAGCATGAATACCCCACTCAGACACATTATACTGACTCCGAGCTGGCCAGTCCTTGTTGTACCCATTAATGCCCGAGCCAGGCAGGGACCAACAAGTACCATATTTTAACGCTTTTGGTATGACGCGGTCGGGGGATTGAACTCGTGACCTTCAGCTCTCCGGGTGGACGCTCTAACCACTACACCACAGAGGCGGTCTATAACTATAGGTGTGAAATGTGATTCTTCAGTTCATGTTTCCTACCTGATATTACTGGATGGTTGTTTTTCATCATTTTCTTTAAATTAAGTGTGAGAGGATGTGTGAAATATGTAAAAATGTACCAGTGTCAACACATACCCCTGTTTTCAAAATGTATTAGCCTTAGAATATAAACTTTATTCCCAACTATTGTCAGTCTCGGATATAAATCTTTTATAATGAAGTATGTTCTTGTAACTACCGAATCAATGTCACCATATATAGAGTTCATCTATTCCAAACACAAGAGGTACGTATTTCCCCTGGATGTATGTCTCATATTGTAACAGGGACTCTGGTAATAAAAATGTTAGCACATTTGCTAATTTGTATTTAATTTGTAAAAAAACAAAACAATTACAGCTGTATGATGGTGGTCAGTAAAACATTCTGGACCAGACAATCCAGTGAGCAGCTACATGTTTACTGCATTACAATCATGTGCATCCTTTGTGGACCATACAATAGATATACAAAACTTCTGGACCAGACAATCCAGTGAGCAGCTACATGTTTACTGCATTACAATCATGTGCATCCTTTGAGGACCATACAATAGATATACAAAACTTCTGGACCAGACAATCCAGTGAGCAGCTACATGTTTACTGCATTACAATCATGTGCATCCTTCGAGGGCCATACAACAGATATACAAAATTCATTTCTTAACCAGCAATAATTAATGTTAAAAATGAAATAGGCTGATCCATTTGGCACGCTTAGAGTGAAATACCAAGCGCCCACCTACCGGCTCAATGTTGACGGGAGTCTTCACTGGATACCCAGATTTGCCTGGAAAAGTAAAATACATTTGAGTGAGTGAGCTGTTTTTCATGTAAACGATGACGTGTCAGCTTCATCTTTGAGGGGTGAGTGAGTGAGTGAGTTTAGTTTTACGCCACACTCAGCAATATTCCAGCTATATGGCGGCAGTCTGTAAATAATCGAGTCTGGACCAGACAATCCAGTGATCAACAGCATGAGCATAGATCTGGGCAATTGGGAACAGATGACATGTCAACCCAGTCAGCGAGCCTGACCACCCGATCACGTTAGTCGCCTCTTACGACAAGCATAGTCGCCTTTTGTGGTAGGCATGGGTTGCTGAAGACCTATTCTCCCCCAGATCTTCACGAGTCTCATCTTGGAGGAAGACCAAAGCAATGCAGGTCTCAGCTTAACACCAAGTAGGGTAACACTAAGTACTATCTCTAAGGGACTTTTAGCATGACATGGCCTAGGACAAAACCACAACATTCTGCTCTCCAGACAGATGTTCTATCCATTTCATGACAATGAGTATTGTTTTACGACGCTTTAAGCAATATTCCAGCAACATCACAACATGGACACCAGAAATGCGCTTCACATGTTGTACCCACTTGGGGAATCAAACCCGGGTCTTCAGCATGATGAGCAAACACTTTAACCGTGAAGTTACCCCACTTGCCCCCATGAGACCACAGAGGAGGTCACTACTCATTAAACTATACTGCACAAATATAGTAGACTCACCTTTCTTCACTTGCCTTTGTTGCTGAAAAACACACAAAACTATTGATATTAACAAAGCATAAAGTTACATATCTAAACTAAGAACCCTTGGCAAGCATATTTGGAAGCAAATGTTATTTAATTCCAAACTGTGACTTCATAAGTTCTTTTATCAATGTATTTCAACATCATATTTGATTCAATTAGGTATTTACTAAGAATTATCAGTGAATTACATGTCATTTCTATAAAGCTATCACATTAATAACAATAAAGTTCAAAAATAGAGCAGAAATTCAGTTCGTTGTCTGACGCAGCACTCGGCTGTATTCCCGGGGGAAATAATCAAGCCTCTTTCGTCAAACATGGGTTGCTGGAGACCAATTCTAACCTGGATCTTAACGGGTGCAGAAATTCTGAGATAGGTGGTACACTGGGTAACTGTCTTGCGTTTAATGAAACAATTTAAATGACAAGGAACAGAAAGACAAGCTCGAAATTTGGTTAAAACTAGTTGAATTCAAAACCACATCTTCGTGAAGATCTGACACTGTGACACACCTTCCACTGGATGCGGTATCAGGCGAACCTGCATATCAGCCAATCATCATGCAGGATTTATATTCTGGTTACTTGAAAGCATACCTGAATTCTGTATCTCGAAAACAAAAACTGAATAGGCAGTTCCAAATTGAGAACAATAACGGCTATGCTATGCTGTTTATTTTTTCTCATTCTGTCATTTCTTAGTGCAATTGCATTTATTCATGCACAAATGTGCTTTCTATGGCACACTTTAATTCCTGGGGTATATTTTGTTTTGTCTTTTCGGTATTGACGAAAATGTCCAAATCTTGAACACAGTTAGGAAACATATGATGCAAAACAAATTTAGAAAACTTACATCTGATTGTCTCAGAAACCCAAGCATACTACTACAGTCATGCCCCATTTATCCGAACCTCAGATATCCGGAAAACTCGCCTTCCGAACGAAAATTCATTAAAACAAATTCATAACGTTGTAAAACTACTCACTTAACCGGAAATCCGGTTTCCGTAACCGGACGGTCATTTTCACATACCAAATGCAAAATCATATGCATTTTTTTCTCGTATATCCGGATGGCTGAGCACCTGTCAGTATGTTTACACGCGCATTTTACCAAGTGGCCATGCGTGCCCTAACACGAAACAAGTGTTACAAGCCGGCATTCTTTGAAGGGTGAGAGGATTAACTGCCCTTAATTAGCAAGGTGACACTGAGTTAATCTTGAGGCGTGTCAATTGGTGGGTCACTATAATTACGCTGATGAATTCTTGTCTGAACAGAAACGTTGTCTGTCAACATGGCAAGCCAACCAACAAAGCGTATGTACTCTTCAGTCAGTAAAAAAGTCTTCTCAAGACTCACAGACGGGCAATGAAGAGGACAAGATCAGAGTTCAATGAGTATGATAACAATTTGTTTCCAGCCAAGCGACTATGATGTGTATTTATTGTCGCCTTCAGGTATTCATCAAGTAATATATGAGAGAAGTAATTTTGGATTCTTATTGGTGAAATATCGCATAGGTGAAAATGATCAACCAGGTTTAACAAACATAGGGCCAGGGAATCCATTACCCAAACCATTTAAAGATAACTCAACTATGGGGAGATAACTCTCCATTCCAAACAGCTCAGTGTGGCAGGTCAATCGTAACTACTCGTCCCTTTCCGTAACCTGAAAGAAGACTCGTACCCCTCTCAAAGCCATGTCCGGGAGAAATATTCCCCCAGCCAATCAGAATGCGCGTATGTAGAGAAAAAATTGGGTCAAAATAGTTAAAATAATTTTCATTTTGGCTTGCATAATTTTTTTCCCAGACACTTTAAGTATATTTTAATCATTCAATAGTCTTCCTGAATTCCCTGAATTATTATACCCAGGATATATTACCATTATGGCGTAGGAAAGTATTTAAGCATGTTAAACATACCCTTTGAGGGCATTTAGTATTGGCGTGGATGCCATGTTTGTTTTCCAAGTAAACTAGAGCTACATGCCCTTGAAAATAGTTCGGCGACTAGACTATTTCTTTCTCTCTGCACTTTTGCGCTCAGACAGAGTCAAGTTCAGTAAAATGGCTACGAGAGGGGTACGAGTCTTCTTTCAGGTTACAGAAAGGGACGAGTAGTTACGAATGTGTTGCAGGTCTTTTACCTGATGACATAGGACCACCATTACCCAAACCATGGGAAGACAACTCAACGCTGGGGAGATAACTCTCCGTACAAAACAGCTCAGTGTGACAGGTCTTTTACCTGATGACACAGGACCAGTCCGACCACCATTATCCAAATCATGGGAAGACAACTCAACTATGGGGAGATAACTCACCGCTCCAGGCTGCCTGTTCTGGTTGCCACCTCTCTGTCCCCCTCTTCCTCTTCCGCGACCAAATCCTTGCATCCCATAATTCATTCCTGGGTACGCCATGTCCATATATGGATACTCAGGATGATATCCATAATCATCATAACCACCGTAGCTCCCATAATTCCCTCCATACTTGCCAGGCCCTGGGTATCCCGGCAAATTGTCCAAACCGACTTGTTCAGAAAGTTTTTCTATCACATCACTTTGTCTCTTCAAAAGCTGGAGAAGCTGGGACTCCTGCTGTCTGTCCAGGCCGGGGGAACCATAGCCTCCCCCTCCGTATCCCCCATCATTAAAGTATCCCCCACCATATCCCGAGGCCTGGGCTCCTATGTTTGTTCCAGGGGGGTAATACTGTCCAAGAATGCCCCTCCCCCTTCCTTGTCTGCTCCCCCCAGACATATTGCGTGGGTTTAACATCTTTGGTCGATTTCTGAAATAATCATAAAAAAAATTACTTTCAAAACATTAATCACCCCTTGAAACTTATTGGGGAAAATATTTTCCACAAAAGTACTGTAACTTAGTATAACACCACCTTCAATTAACTATTTGAGTAAGCAGGACTATTCCACTTTCAAAAGTGATATCATTATATTTTCATTACCATAAATCACATCATAAAGGAGTAGGGTTATGGTACTCAGTAGTGTTGGGAATTGGTTAACATCTAACAATTGATAATTTGTTCATTACAACCGATCAATCATCGAAAATAATTGGTTAGCGTCATTTATCAAATTCTCCTGGTTATGTTTGTTAATGCACAAAAATATAGAAAAAAGCGTGTAGTTCTTTCGGGTTTTTTTTTGCAAATTGCACAAAATGCATTTACAAATTTCACATCTTAAAGGATGACTAGTATGGTATGATCCTAAATTTCATGGATAATTCAATCATGACAAGGAATGAGCTTGTAGTGCTTGTGAAATGTAACAGACAAAACCAACCTTGTGAAAAAATGGTAGTTAATGCGATTATGAGAAAACATGATTGATTGCTTGGTTGTTTAGTTTTTGCGACCAATCTTTGACTATTTCAATTAATCGGACCACCACTAGTACTCAGAAAGAAATGGGTTTGCCAAGCATCATCGAGTATTTCAGTCATGTCATGGTGTGTCAGCATAATGTTCAAGGAAAACACAAAGTGATACAAGTCCTACATGGTTACAACTTCAGTGAAACCCAAAAGGTTATGGATGAGGAGTTAAGGATCATATCCTATTCCAAATCTGAGATTTCAACCCTTGGATCAAGTTTTAACATCAAGCTACACTTCATATCTAAAGTGAATTTTTTTTTAAGATTATGTTTGACACCAGGGATGGAAATAACTTTAAAATTGCTAGTGTACTCTGGTACAGTGGCACATATAAAATCACTTGCCATGATAATTTTATCCCCTATACCGGCCGATTTTAAATAAACAACATTATTAACATTGGAAAGTCAACTGGACACTGTAGTTCAGCATATAACTAGACGACTTTGCACTATACCAAGGTGTGCTCGACGTCTAGCCGGCGAATTCAAGTTCTTTGACGCACTTCACTAGGCAGAGAGGCACAACGGATTTAGGCATAAACGAGGGTAGAAACTCAACCTATCTACTAAAACATGTGCAAGGATTGATAAAACTTTCATTCATCTTCATACTGTCAAGGTAATTAGCGGTTGAATAAAAAGTGGAAACGCATTAAAACGTATTTAGGAACAAATAGAAACTGCTAAAAGTTTGTCCCCCTTCCTCAGACTTCAGAGCATCATGTAATCACGGTCCGTTTCATACAATTCCTTTTTTTTTGATACAACTGCTAATTACCATAACCAAAATGGTCGACAAATGGTGGAATGTTGGTGGGGGTCTTTATGTTTCAGGTCATTTAGTAATAAAGTGAGTCGATTTTAGTGGAGGTAAGTGTCTCGTTTTGAAGACGATTGTTTGTTTTAGTAATGCATGCACATGCATTAGTCGATAGGTTGAGTCTTCATTCTTGTTTTTGCCTAAAACTGTTCCGCTCAAATTTCTTGCGGAAAGGTGCGTCTAAGAAAATGCACTCGCCGTATAAACTCTATTTAGGCCTTGGCTGAAATACTAGTTTATTCTTGAACAACTGGACACCGGTACAACATGATATACAAATTAGCTTGCCCGACAGAAAACAACACTGGACACGGACGTCGGGCAATGGGTTATTTCCACCCCTGGACGCATATTATCAATATATTTGATTGTTAAAAATGTTGGGGCATGATGACATGCAGCCCAACAAGTCACAAAGCATGAACAATGTCACTGGGGACATATTCAAATACTGACTTTCCTTCTATTGGTCAATTATTAAAAGATTTAATTCATCCAAAGGTAATGAAATGGTTGTACAATTTGACCATATGAGATTTAACAAAATTTACTGAGCATGATCAGTTTACAATTTAGTTAAACATGGGATTTAGGAGGACCCTGTTCTAACTTTGCTCATAACACATTACAGAGCCCCATGTCATTGACCGTTGGGTCCCTAATCCAACATACTAAACATAAAAGATTTGACAGTGACTTTACAGAATCTGCTGACAATGGCCAACATCATCATTAAGTGTTCTGTGACATAAAACTGACAGTTCCTTAAAACCATCTTTGAATACTGCCTCTTCATAATATCAATAAAGTATTTCAAGATAATTAACATACAAGATGGTGATTAAATCAATAACTGAATTTGTATTTGTTCAATGTGTGAACTAAGCAATTAGTCAAAGAAAAATTTGTAATATCTCAATGGATTGGTTATTTATTCACTTTTGATAACACACTGACAGGAATGTAATTTAGAGTTATCTACCCTTGTTTTTCACGTGACGATGCCGGTTGCAAATGCATTGAATCCAGTTTCTATTCTATCAAAATACTTAATTAGAGTTCAATTGTCAATTATAAATAAACATATACTGGTTTTAATCACATTACTGAGTTACGTGTCCGACAATGAAAACAGTGCAGGAGGTATACGGTGGAAACATTTCACGTTCTCCGATGCCGGCACATGTAACTCGTCGCCGGTTCTCCCTGTAAGGAACACTGCAGGCAGAAACGGAGATGTTTCGGTTGTGTAAAACGATTTAATTACATGTACATGTAGTAGTACAATAACAAAATATGGGTCATCATGCTTGTCAAATAAGAAAATATACCAACAAAGGCTCCACCCCAAACAGTCGGAAAAATGGAAGTGAAATGTTGCACACGACTCTCAAACGGAAGTTATAGTCGAGGCCCACTACAGGATCTATGGAAGCACGGGGCCTTTTTTAGGTGAAGTGGTTTTGTTCGTTTGGTCAGGGAAACTAACCATTATAAGGGGGAGTGGTCACTCCTCTGAAAGCCCCTTAGCGTATGCCTCGGCTCGTCACGTGACCAGTGTAGCCAATATGGCGGCAGCGTAGTTTTAAGATTGAGCCCGGTTTATTTTCAACAGCTGATTACATACGCTGAGTGTTGTGACAACTGAAAACCTACATGTAGAAGATAAGTTACCTATTCTGTCACTTCATTTTAAGTCAAATAATTGTTATTAGTGTCAGTATTAGTACAGTAGATTTGTAGTAAAGTTTCAAGTCGGCATGTTGTAACTCACTGGCTTCAATTCTCAGTACACAGCGAAGAAAGACTAAATTCTATCGCTAAAAACTTCTTTCACATATTCGTTTAATTTTTAGAAGGGAAATATACCTTTAGTTGAAAGGTGTTTGCAAGTAATAGTGGTAGTTTTATAACTAAAAACAATTGTTAGGGTGTATTTGGGGTGTGTGAAAAATATGACATATCGCCGATCTGCCATTAAAATACTACAGGGCGTTGTTTGAGTGTTTCTAGTTATTGTTCTAAAACATCTTTCACATACACCTTTAATTTTTATGAGGGGAATATACCATCAGGTGAAAGGTATATGCAAGTAATAGTGATAGTTTTATAATTTAATTTTTTTTGTTAGTGTGTATTTGAGGTGTGTGAAAAATATGACATATCGCCGATCTGTTCTGATACGCCATTGATGCTTGTGATGCTTGAGTGCTATAGTTCTAAAACTTCTTTCTTTCTTGTTGATCTTAGTATTTGACAAAACTGGAAAGGTGTTTACAACGCTTTGTGAAAGGTCTAAACTTCCTTTTTTTTTTAGGGGTCTGTGACAGTGTCAGTTAACATTCTGTCAATGCCCATGCCATTCCACACATGCAATAAGATATCTGAATTAGTTACTAATGTAAAGAAATTTCTCAAAAGTAGATTTTTTTTAAAAAGGACAGCTGATAGTTTTTGCGTTCTTTAACATGTTTGGGGAGGGATGGCCGCGGTGTATCATTTATTCTTTCATTCATTCACATATGTATTTTTTCTTTTGTTTTTTTTCTTTATTTCTTTCATTCATTTACATATAATTCTTGCTGTTAATTCATTCATTCATTCGTCGTAAAATTCGGACTGATACAATACACTGGCTGAAGTACTGGTAAACGCAGCCGAAGTTGCGCTGGGAACGAACCAAGTCACTGTGTGCGTTAGAGCATGACGAGGCACACGCTAATTAGTACAAATGGTAAAAAAAGCAAGCGAGTGACCTATCCCTGTTGTAGAGTATCCCTTGTTTGGTCGAGCTGGACACATGGCTTGGAGATTGTCGACTTGAACTGAGCGTGCATAAAATCTGCTCATTGCCTACGAAGTAAAGATCGACTTGTATGGACTGTCGCTGCCATTCAGTTTATTCAGCACGGTTCCTGGTGTAGTGCCACATGTGAAAGAGTATTGAGAAATTATGTTTGCTGATCTTTTGGGAATACTTTCCAGATATTGGGGATGGGAGTTATAACGTGTTATAAGTGCTCGATTATAACTGGTTCTTTTAAACGCATGGTGAACTAGGAGTCTTGTACAAACGCCGAGTACAAGGGGATCAGGAGGCTATATGCTAATTGCTTATTGTATGTCAAGTTACGTTATAAAAAGTACGAAGACCTTGATCGTTGCTCGTGATTCCAGTCATCGGTTTTTCTGGTCCCGCCTCGATCATTTATCTAACATGATATAACTGAGAGTTTTACAGACTAAGTATTGGAACACAAAATCTTTTCAATATATCTCAATCATCGGCGGATCCTCGGGTGGGTGGGGGGTGGTCAGGGGGTTGGAACCCCCTCCCCTTTTGAAAATGACTGAAGACCACATTGGAGTTAATGTTTTGCTTTGAGCTTCGAACACACACAAAGACACACACACACACACACACACACACACACACACTTGAAAATTCCTGGATCCGCCTACGCCAATGACGTCAGAGACGTTGACGCTGAGGGGTGTCAGATACTATATCATTTAATGTGTTTTTGTTGTTTTACGCCGCACTCAGCAATATTCCAGCTATATGGTGGCGGTCTGTAAATAATCCAGTCTGGACCAGACAATCCGGTGATCAAAAGCATAAGCATCGATCTACGCAACTGGGATACGATGACATGTGTCAACCATTGAACCAAGTCAGCGAGTCTGACCGCCAGTTAGTCGTCTCTTATGACAAGTATGGGTTGCTGAAGATCAGCCCTAACCCGGTTTTACGGGTTCATTAAATGACGTGTGTTTTCCTGACCAAAGACGACCGCCTCCGTGGTGTAGTGGTTAGAGCGTCCGCCCGGAGTACGGAAGGTCGCGGGTTCGATCCCCGACCGCGTCATACCAAAAGACGTTAAAATATGGTACTTGTTGGTCCCTGCCTGGCGCTCGGCATTAATGGGTACAACAAGGACTGGTCGGCTCGGAGTCAGTATAATGTGTCTGAGTGGGGTATTCATGCTTCACTGCGGCATGGTACCACAGTGGGCTAGCACTATAAAACCAGCTGAAGTCTGGGGTAGTACAAGCAGCCGCACCTCCACATACACACGCATGCACGTCGTCATATGAGCGAAATATTCTCAAGCACGACGTTAAACCCAATTCCACCACCACCACCTGACCAAAGAACAGTTGAGAAATCGAATAATACTCGAAATGGTAAGACAGTTGTGAGGGGTCATTACGAAAATCACACGCCATTTCACACGGTCTATTATGGATGTGTCCATCGTGGGTCCTGACGCACTCCACACGTAGAACACTCAATGAGCGGCTAGGTGCCCGTAGTTGCCTGAAGTAATGCCTGCCAAAACCGAAGAGCTTTTGCAGGCGGAGGTCGGATGTTACGAGCACGTCCAATGCATGTTCAGTCGAGGAAAGATCAGGACAATCGGCGTGCCACGGCATCCTCGTGACGCCCCTCTGCGTGTTACAGCACGTGCACTATATGAATATGGCAAAGGGGCGTCCTATATGATGCAAGCCTAAGTCCCGATTGCAATCGGGAACATTTACGCATGTTTCCAGCCATTGTGACAGTCGCCAAAACGCAACCACTATCTGTTCATTCTGAATTTGAACAACATTTCTGCTTGCCTTGCAATGTTTTACATGCACCATTAGACACAATATCATTGTGTTACAGTACGGTCAGACTGACCTTTACTTGTTTCATGTAGTTAAACGGACCGCCTCCGTGGTGTAGTGATTAGAGCGTCCGCCCGGAGAGCGGAAGGTCGCGGGTTCGATCCCCGACCGCGTCATACCAAAAGACGTTAAAATATGGTACTTGTTGGTCCCTGCCTGGCGCTCGGCATTAATGGGTACAACAAGGACTGGTCGGCTCGGAGTCAGTATAATGTGTCTGAGTGGGGTATTCATGCTTCACTGCGGCATGGTATCTCAGCACTATAAAACGAGCTTAAGTCTGGGCTAGTACAAGCAGCCGCACCTCCACATACACACGCATGCACGTCGTCATATGAGCGAAATATTCTCCAGCGCGAGGTAAAACCCAATTTCACCTCACCTCACCTCATGTAGTTAAACAAGATGTCATAAAACTTATCATGGAGAATTAATTCGGTAACGTGAGAGGTGCGTGACAAAAAGGAGGGTGTGTGCAATCTTTCACTCTAAACAGGTTATTCAAAAGCAAATTCCGCTGTCGGGGAAAAAGGAATAAGTGTGTATGTTCCAACGTGCGTTTGGGTGTGTTTGATTTAGGTATGATGTTCAACCGTCACTATGACTGTGCATTAAAATTGCGGGCAGGGTCGGCGGAGTTTGATATTGTTTCAAGGTCACTGTAGCCTAGAAGATGATCATACTTTTTAGGCGAAGGGCAGCAACAAGTGCATTAATATCCACATGCTTTGTAGAATATGTTGAAAAGGTGGTCCTTCGGTATTGTACAGACGGAGGTCAACGGTCTTCAATTGAAGATAATAAGTCTGCCTGCCTGCCTGCCTGAGTTTCAACGATGATCAGTCAAGAACGTAAACAATGATTTAAACAACACGAAGTTTACTATTAGTTTAAATGATGTTTATTCAAAAGGTAATCCTTCAAATTGAATGCATTTGTTCAAATAGTCAAGATCAATATTGTGTGAATACATCTTTAATGAACAAAACTCCTTTGTCATTTACCACACAATGCAAATGACATGTGACTAACAATCAGTCAGATCACCCGTCAAGTGTGTGAGAGTATGTGACCGAATGGTCTTTAGCTCTGAGAGAGGCATGCTGAGGTCGACTGTTATCGCCCATGAGGATTGAACCACTCGGTCTCCAGTACGCATCCAGAACGTCGCCCTGTTATCGTAGCCTGGAATTATATTCAGAGCAAGTGTAACATTGGTATAAAACGAACACACAAAGCGTAAGAAACATGTTGTTGCATGTAATTTATAAGCCACAAATGCAGTGCAAGTAGGTCGAAGTGGGCGAGTACATGTAGACGTAATACAACAGCTCTCAGAGCCTGGCTTAAAGTTTTCCAACATGAAGAAAACGAGGACAGAAATGCATACTACTGCTGGGTGATAGAATGGTGGATTCATATGGAATAATTATATATCATGTGGCAGTTATCAGAATCAGAATCCAATATGCCCTTGGTCTCATTCCATACCCGTTGTGAATGAAAGACCGGAAGTTCAAGGTATCAGCGGTGACCATAAATAGCCAAATCGGTCCTAGAAAAAAATGCAGTTCGAAAAAGCATTACTGAACATTAAATACCCTCTCTTCGGCTTCTTTTGTGGGTAATAATATAGGCCCAGTTGCACAAAGCGAACTAACAGTATCTTAAATCGATGGTTGAGTATGGGAGTTACGATCATCGTAGTGCTAAGATGGCTTTC